TGTATTCTTGTAAACAAACTCCATGATAGATACAAATCACTGTAAAATGACAGATTTTCATGACTGCTACTGAACTAAGTACATTGCATTTTTACCCTCTTTATGCCACCATTTTAAATTTTTTAAAGCATTCACTAGTGGCATCAGTAGAAGAGATGCAATCAGGAGAAAAATTATCTAATGTTACAATGAAGCATCTGAAGAAAAACTCTTCCTCCGATAGAGATTCATTGCCTAGACAATGTAATATGAAATCTCACACTTTTTATTACAATTAGAAAACATCTAGTTAGGCATTACATACTGCAACACATTGTAACAAATTATATTTGGCCTTCATCTTTCTGCATGTAGGGTACAAGATAACCTTTTAATTAAAGTGGGTTGGAAAAATTCCAAATAAGAGTTACATGTTTATTTTCAAGCCTATACATTTTGCAGAAGCAACTGGCCTTGAAAAAAGACCAAACAAAACCCAGCTGAACAAAAAAACCCAAACCAAAACCAACAACCAAAAACCCAATGCAAACCAAAACCAAAGCCTCCCCCAAACCAGGCAGTTTTTCCCAGTAGCATGATTGCTCTGCTAATCAATGAAGTGCAGGACAGAGAACCAAAAGCCTGAAAATGCCAGTTCTGACCAGTGTGTAGTGCCATTCAGACTCTGCAGAGCTTGTACTCTCAGAGCTTCTAGGACCCACAGTTTTGGGGTATAAACCAAAGTTCACAATCTGCTGTAAAACACATTTTCTACCAAGCTCCAGCTTTACAAGGGGACACAAGACTATGCAACTGAAATCTTACTCAGCAATGTGAAAGCTCTATAAAGCCTGGTTTTAAGTGCCTTTTGATGAGAGGCAAGTATGACCTATGTGGACTAGAGTCTTACTTTCAGTCTTTCCAAGATCCTGTGTCAACTATAAACACACAACTCAAGTGAAGAAGAACACAAACAATACTTCAAATCAACAAGTGATAACTTGTTATTTACCTGAGATTGCAAGCAGCATTTTTCTCCTGGCACCAAAAGTGGTAATTCCTAACTCTTTCAAATCTTGGTCAGTAAGAGTAAGGAATGTCTGCAGATCAATCTAGAGTAAAAAGAAATAGGAAAATTATGCAAAAATGTCTCTCCCCAGAAGTATTAAGCCATAAATGTGGTTCAGAATAGCTTCATACTGCATTTTACAGTTACTCTGCCAACCTATTCTTTGCACATAAACAGCAATCATTGCTTTCCAATGGATCTGTCATTCCATTGCTCAATTTGCTACTCTGCATTTCTGACAGATAAACTAAAAAGCAAGAAGTTTTAGAAAAACACAGAAAATCAATTAATCTTATTTATTTGCAACTCTTGAGATTTTGAATATTTACCACAATTGCTACAAGGTACTTGGGAATAGCCAGCGATATATGCCTGTAGATATGGTAGGTGCTTCAGACTTTGAGCCACTAAGATGATTAAGGGAGTGGAGCATCTCCCTTATGAGGAAAGGCCGAGGGAGCTGGGTCTCTTTAGCTTGGAGAAGAGGAGACTGAGGGGAGACCTCATTAATGTTTATAAATATGTTAAGGGCGAATGTCAGGAGGATGGAGCCAGGCTCTTCTCAGTGATGTCCACCGGTAGGACAAGGGGCAGCAGGTGCAAGCTGGAGCACAGGAGGTTCCATGCAAACATAAGGAAAAACTTTTTCACTGTGAGAGTGACAGGCCACTGGAACAGGCTGCCCAGAGAGGTTGTGGAGTCTCCTTTTCTGGAGACATTCAAATCCTGCCTGGACGCCTTCCTGTGTGACCTACTGTAGGTGATCCTGCTCTGGCAGGGGGGTTGGACCAGATGGTCTTTTGAGGTCCCTTCCAGTCCCTAACATTCTGTGATTCTGCGACTATAGGAGGTTAGCAGAGGATGATTGCCCAACTACTGGCGATGCATTTGAGTTAAAGCACTGAGTATTTCATAGCATTCCAAAGTGTGTGCAACCATGTATGTTTGTGGGTTTTTTTGCTCCCAATACAATTCACAGAAACAGCAGAAAACTGTTTAGTTTTCACTCTGGCCAAACTACTTGGCTCATCTCACACCTAATTATCAACTCTTGAGGTAAGAAAAATCGAAATAAAAACCCACCTGTCAAAAGCCAGTTGTAGTGTTAGAAACCAACACAGACATCTCTCCTTTTTAGGAGAGTAGCTAAGATTATAGGAAAGGATTAATGACTCAATAATATGGATACTATGGAACATACAGAGGATTACAGAGGAGATAAACCTGAGGAAGTGTAAACAGAATTAATACAGGCACAGCTAGATTTATTTGCTGAGATTGAGGATTGACTTTACCACTTTCAGACTTGTTGCATGCAAACCCCATGCTGGTGTCTATCCCACACCTCCCAGTGCTTTGCAATCCAAAAAGAGTTCATTAGCTCAGGTGCAGCCAGTTCCAAAGCACTTTTGTGCAGTACTGCACAGGAATAAAGCACTTAAGCAGCATGATTAGAGAGACACAAGAAATTCTGGCAGGAAATGCACCAGATCCAGCTGCCCCAGAGCTGAGACAGCTGCAACACACTTCAGCGGACTCAGGACGATTCTGTGAACACATATACACGAGTGACTCAGTGCACACTAGCAGGTACACGTTTGCCTCATGTCGACCCTTGGAATAGTGTAGTATGCACTTCAGCGTGCCCCTGGGGGGTGCAGTCTTCCTCTTGTGGAAGCAAATCTGAAGCTCAATGGTGGCACACCAGAGCAACTCATGCAACACAAATGGAGGGTCCTCTTGGAGTTTGTGCTTCGTGAACACATGCACAGAACTCAATGACACAGCAAACTGCAAAAACCCACTTTGTGTAGTCTAATAGGAGAAAACATGCAAGTGCAATCTGAGACCAGCAACTGGTGCAGATCTCTCTGCTGATAAAGATGCGAAGTGGACATATGGGTCCAAAATATGGGAAGATACCAAATCCAGCAGTGGTCTTTCCCCTATACCACGTGAGGTACTGACACAACCCACTCAGACACCTGTTTTGCTCCATAGTACACCCAGTTCCAGCAGTGTGACACGTACAACTTCCCACATACAACTACAGTGCTTTCCGGACAAGCTCAGGGGCTCTGTGTAAGCCAGTAAGCCTTGCAGCTCCGCTCACTGTATTTTTGTGACATAGTTAAATCTGTCACCAGCATAAGCTATCTGCAGATAACCAAGATAATATATAATATATAATCTACCTATATAATATTCTATGGATATGAAACACTAACACTCAGACTAAACTGAAATTAGTTGGTGGGGAGGTGGAAAGCTCAGAGAGATGACTGACCATATCTCCCTGTTGGGAGTGGATCAAAGTCAGTCAACTGGCACACAAGGGAAGAGGCAAGCAATTGAAGTATGTGACCCCAGCATCAGCAGAGACAAGATGTTACTACTGAATCCAGTCTGGATTTCCATAATCTATACATGAAGTTCACCAAAAGCTATTAAATTTTAGTTAGCATCCTAGTTTACAAGAAGGAGCCAAGGTTTAAACTTCACTGAATGAAAAAAAAACAAACCCCAAAAAACCAAACACTAGTTTAATTCTTTAAGTATAAATTAAAGGTGCAGAACAAAACAGTACTCATGTCCAAGCTGGCCATCTGGAAACTGAAAGACATATGATACAGCTGTGAAAAAATAGCTTGCAAGAATCCTGTCACAAAGCGACTTAGTGGTTTTGGTCAAGTGACAGAACAACTACTGCTGGAAAACATGCTACAAACACAAAGGTGTCTTTCAAAGAAATACTAACCTCTTGCTGTTGGAATACATCTGTGTATTTGCCCAGACCAAGTTTGCTGAACAGCTCAGGCAGATCAGATCCTTTAAACAGACTGTTCAGGTTACAGCCGTTGCTTCCCGTCAGTGAGGAAATGCAGTCCATGTAATTACTGCTACTGAGATAGTGTTCAGCTGAAAGGGAAGAAATGCACTTTTTAAGTCACATCACAGAAGTGCACAATTTTCTGTCATATCAATGCTGTATTTGATTAGATCATTAAATTAACAAAATATTTAAATCTTTATTATTCAGCAAAAAAAGCTTCTCAGCAGTCTGAGAGAATGAACAGCACAAAGCAAAGTTTTTGTTAATTAAGTTCCAGTGGTTTTTTTTTTCCCCTATAGTAAAGAATAAAATCATATTATGTGAACTGTCACATGGATCCAAGTTCGGAACTCATACAGGGGAAAGAGCTGCAAGATCCTGTTGCTTTTCTTCCTCTTAAGCCCTCTCCTCTTTTTTCCAGTGAATACTTTGGAAAACACCACTGCACACAAACGCAACTAGCCCTTTTGGTCTGGATAGGGAGAAAACCATGCTGAACAATTCCTGATAAAGGAATTATCTAGTAGCCACATGATTTGGTTATTATTTTAGTACAATACAGACAAGAAAACCTGCAACAGTTTTATAAAAGAATAGAAATAGAAATACACTTTCTATACAGTTTTAAATTACATTCCTAAAAAGCTGTATCTTTGGAAAGAAGTTTTCAGGGTGAGGTTCTTAAAAACCCAAGAAAACTGATTTAGCCATGCAATCCCTTTCCTCTGTGTGTACATACTGATAGTATATAATCACATAGTTCAGAACTATTTCTCCTCATGCTGCATAAGAAATGGATAGCTCCCAGGGAGTGCATCCAACACTCGTGCAAATGGGGCCATTGTGAGCGCTTCGTCCCTTATTACAGACACAGGAAAGAATAACAGCGAATGCGTAAAAGGCTTGAAGGAGGTAAAGGATATTTTCCCAGGTGAGCAAAATTAAGATTGCCCCAGAGACTTAAGCTATGGCCTCTGTTACAGAATGCCGATAGGATGTGAAAACCACCATTTTGCACATCTGGCTATGCTACGTTTCTCATTTTCTGGACACAGACTAGTTAGAAGCATTTGGGATCAGATTTACAGAGTCTAAAAATATCCAAACAAAAATTCATGATCCTGCACTCAGGGCAGATGAGGCATGGTCATGTATTGAAAACTGAATATTAAGAATTACTTCTTACTGATGCAGTCGGGAAGCATTATCTTAAAAACAAAGAAGAACAACACTACTATACAATTGTGTCAATGAAGACTTACATTTTAGTACTCTAGCGCCTATACATTAAGGTGAATATATTTGTCCAACCGACTCATAACTATTTCTTTCGTTCCTCCTCCATACATTTTGTTTGCTGGGTAAGCTACAGCTGCTGTAGAGCAGAGCTTCCCCCACCACCAATGTATTCATGTTTCTAATTTTCTTCTAATGCATATGTAAATACATTTTTAATTCATATTTATTTTGATTAACCTAGAGTCTCCATTTTTGTCCAATTTACCTGGAAACATCAATGGCTTGATTTGAAAGATAAAATTTTCATCTCTTTTCCGTGACTGCTTAGAAAATGGTATGCAGACATTCACAGCTTAACTAATACGCTTTTTAAAATAATAAACAATTACAAGTATACCAGCCATGGATATTTTCTCTAATTGAAGTTATCCTTTCTTAGGATAGCAAATTTTTACTACCTGTGTACTTTGGAGTTAATCTAGGATTTAGGTTTTATTCACTTTTATAAGAAAAATGCAACAAAATAAAGTAAAAACAGCCATAGTAGTTATTTGCCTATAATGCAGTTAGCTAGTATGGACCAGTATTCTCTACCTCCATTTTTCACTCTTTAAGAAAGTAACATATTAAATTATTTAAAAAAAAAAAACAAACCAAAATTAAGTTTCAAAGAGTTCAACTGAAGTAAAACTTTAATTTGTAAGTTTGAAAAATTGTTTAAAAAGTAATTACAAAATTTACAGTCTGTATCCACAGAAACCAGAGTTTAAAATCATGTGCTAGGCCATACCAAACATATGGACAGTGTATTTTACCACCATAAAGATAATCATGCTTTAAAATTCAAAATAAGCATATATTATGACTCCTCCATCAGTGAGCAAATAGCCCAATAAAGACCTGGTGTTTTCTTGCATTTTAAAAAAAAAAATTCTTAAAAGTTTTCCTTTTAGACCATTATTCATACATCACATTACACAATCCTGCATATGCATTTACTTTTCAAATTGTAAAATAAGTTTACGTTACAGGTGTTGGTAATTTAAACCCCTAGTGATGTTAGAAAACATTTATATTAAAATAAACTTTTATTGATATCAATGATTTATTTTTTTTTTTACATCAGATCTTAAGAAATTATTAACCTGATTTATTTTGTTTCCGTTTGGTGCTGTCAATTGAGGAGACAAACTCATTATGAGCTGCGGGTCCAAGCCCATTACGGTCTCTCCAGTTATCAGATTCACTGCCACTACCCAGGTGCTCCCGACTGTTGGATCGTGAGAGAGACATCGATGAACCCTGCAAAGCAAAACAAAAAGAAAGTTTGGGCAGAAAACAGAAGTTTCATTGTGACTCAGATGTTTTCTCGGAAGCAGCTCAGTTAAAAAAAACCCCAGTTTTTAATGCTTGCAAACATTCTTTTGGCAGTTGATCAAGAGTCAAATAATTGCAAACTGGACACAAAACCAGCAGGTGTGCTTGAAACATGTGCAGTTTACAGATTTTAAGCAGAAGTTATTTAAAGACCATGCTTCAGAATAAATTTCTTAGTATTGCCAAGTTTGTTTCCAAAACATGTCATGGTCTCAAATCCCCACACAAATTCTAAACAAAGTAGTCTATCGACTATATCCTTTCACGAGGATGAGAACATAGCAGAACATCTACCTAAGATAAGTGCATCAAGTACACAATACTTTACAACAATATGGTATACAATACAACAACAATAATTCTGCAATGACTTGTGAATTTGCAGATTTCATTTTTTTTAAATAGTTTTTCACGTTCCTCTAAAGTACTAATTATCAACTCTCATCACTGTGGGTTAGAATGTTCCAAAATAAGGCAACAGTATTCCCTGAAAGCAGCAGTTAACTACAGTATTGAGTGGTGATGTATCCAAAAAGAGATAGTCATTATTGATACCACACGCTTACGTGAACTAGAAATTATGGGACCAAACAAAGAATTTAACAAAGTCCAATTGAACAGAGTAACTTAGGAGGTAGCAATCTTTGCTACTATTCAGCAAAACTGACATCACTGAAGAAAAAAAAAAAAGGCAAAAGCTCCTTGTCATTGGCAAAATCTCAAAGGTGTGAGCTATGGTTAATATGACTTAACAAATTAAGAAATGAAGGAATTGACTTCAACTCTAACAGAAAAGCAGAAGAGACAAGGCCTTTGCATTATGTTAGATCATAGTGATGCCTAAGAGTTGTGAAGTAAAAAATACGCCATCCAATGTTTCTGGAAAACTGAATGCACAGTAAAATATCACAGTGAAGATAAAATATGTTTGGTGAGCTTATTTGACAAATTAACTTCCCAGACATTAGGCTATAACACCACTACTACCTCTGTTCAAAGATTTCAGCATGTGACTCTCAGCAAACGTGCATGTGTACAGAGGAAGTGTGGTGGTACTGCCTCTAACCAATGATGTTGAGGACTGCTGAACAGAAGCAAAATACAAGGAATGGAAGTTTGTTAGCTTTCCCAGATATTTCCAGAATAAGTCATACCAAACAATGGAAAAAGGAGTCCTAATGTGCTATTATTTCACTGGAGAGAGTTAAGCCCGTGGTTTACACACAGGCAGACTCCAAGTGACTAAGATACAGTGTTCTTGGTTTGGATGACATGCCTGCTTAGAGACTTTTAGCAGTGCATCATGGTCTGGGGGAAAAAGTCCACTCCAGCTCAATCAGTAAAGTATGTAAAAAACCCCCTAAATTTCACAGATTTTAGTTATAGCTTTTTCTTTCCCACTAGTTACTACTGCAAACTCATTACATGTATCTAAACCTATTATGTGTAGTTGAATGACACAAAAAGTTCATATGTCAAGGGGGGAACACTCATGGCTGAGTATTTCTTTTGCACTACAAGATAGGTACATCCTAGAGAAAAGCTGTATGAAGTCCCAGCTCTGAAGAAACATACTATTTACATTTAATATAAGTAGGACAGAAATAAAGAAAAAGGTGTCTCTGTGGAAGTTGGAGAAGATTACAGCAAGGAAACACGCTAAAAAGCAATTGTAGAACACCTTTGAAAAGAAAGGAACACAAATTCTCTGCAAGATACCCATGGTGGGACTTTGAAGGTACTTGCTGGACGCTATGGCTGCCTTCTCACTGGAAAATTTCTGGGCCCAGTGAATAGTGCTAATAGAGAAAGCTATTGTCAACAGAATAGGATGAGCTGCAGCCATTTCTTGTTCCAACATTCTGCTCCACCATGCAGTGATTCACATTATATAGCTTATCTGTTATATACATATTGTTTTAATTAGGTTACAAAATTTCTACCACTTGTCTACAGTGATTGAGACATTTGGCCCTACAAGTTGTTTTAAGTTTCTTTGAACAAACATATTTTCAGGAGCAGACTTCTATAAAGCTAGAGTAATATTTATAAAATGGATATAACTTCGTGTCTTGAGCTGAATGTATTCCATATGCTTTAATATTTATGTAAGAAACATTTTTCAACATTAAAAAAATACTTAGAATATTATAAGGAAAGCAAAAAATCTTATCTGCAAGACTTCTTGTTTTTTACAAAAGTTACAGACATTTCTTAAGAGAAGCAACTGTATCATTCACTAGAAATAAATTTCCATTACAGATTAGGGGGTTTTTTTATACCTCGTATGTAGTTGTCATAGATGGCTTGTACGATACATGATTCGCTCTTCTTAGTTCCTTGATAGTTTCTGCAGGCATAGATTTAGAGAATCCCAAACCACTCCATGTATTTGTTGGAGTTCTCACTTCTGTAACAACTGGCTTCTTTAACATAGCTGAAAAAAATACAAAGACAAATTAATAAATCTCAACCTTAGTAAAGGTACTGAGATGAGAATTCTGAAGTTGTGTATGCTAACAGACTTCAACCCACCAAATGGTAAGTTCTAAACACCTCCACTTGCTACACTGCTTGAATTCTACCCTTCCTTAAGGGAATTTACTCTGTTAGAAGATAGTTAAACCCCACAGGGCTGCAAAGATGACAAAGGCATCAAAAATGTTTCAAAAAGAGGGGTTTCTGGTTTTCTTTTGGAGTGGGGGCATTTGGTTTTTTTTTAAACATCAATTTTTTAACTTAATTTATCTCTGAAATAAGGAGCAACTTTGCCAATATGACAAACATCTTAAAGTTTAATTTGCATCCAAATAAATTTGAGTGTTACAGCTATGAGGCCTCTAAAAACAACATGGTTCATTTGCCTATGGATATCCTCACAGAGAGAGCATCCCATCTGTAAGTTGTTCATACTGTAATTTATATGAGGTTGGTATAAAGAAATTTTTGGAATATGAAAACTAATATACAACTGTTTCACTATCAGCTTTAGATTTCATCAGAAATCAAATTACAAAGCTGAAACTTCATAAAATTCTTTCAGCTGTGTACTAACAAACTTGTCAGAAGATACTGTTTATCCACATACCTTTGGTTGCTAGTAGCTTTTTCTGTTCATAGTCAAATGCCTAAAAAATAAACATGTAGAAGACAGCTTAATTGCCATTCTAACTAAATGTCATTCCAGTACTCAGCTCTTTGTAAAAACAAAGGTTTTGGAAGTGGCCAGTGAATACATGTAGGAGAAAGCTAAAGTACTACGTAGTAATTTGACAGCAGTCCACTTAAAGTCTTAGCTACTTAAAGTGTTAACTCAAACACAGATAACAAAGATTTTAAATAACTATCTGATATCCATCTGAGTGAGGCTGCAGCAGTACTTACAAACTGTTTAGGCAGAATTTTTCTTTTTTTTTTTTTTCTAATAAGACATTTTTCAACATAGTTTCTCTTCCTTATTCATCTCGTCTTAGCATTTAAAACATTCCTCAACAGTACAAAAAGTGAATATACAAGTTAGCCAAACTAGGTACCACAGTTACTTGTAATAATCTTTCAACTTTAGTTGGCCATGCACTCATCTTCTGAAAGGAAAAGAAGTTAAATTCTCTTAAGTTTTCAGAGAATTAAGAAACCCTTTGCATTTGCACTGCCTATGACAGTGGAGGATTTGAAGTTTAAATACCCCTTGGTTAAATAAGTTACAGTTCTTTGAATTATAGATTAGCAAGTCTAAACACACAGAAAACTACAAAAATGGAGTATTCAGCCTGAAGCATTAAATTCACTACTTCAAATAACTAGAAGAATAACTGAGGAAAAGGGCTGCAAAACACTAGCCATAGTTTTCCACTAACCACTAGTAGTGGAACAGTCTAGTTATGCTGACACGCTGCTAGATCTATACTGAAAACAGGTACTACTGCTTGACAAACAATTAAAGGGGTTTCTCTCCTTCGGGAGATTTGCAATAACATGTAAGTAGTTTATAGTATAGGAGTAGGCTGCCGTTAACCAAATAAAAACAGCACAAGAAAAAATGGAGTATAGGTACAGATCTATATTTGTAAAGCAAAACCGGTGTAGTTACTCCAGTAAATTCCCCTGTATGTCAACCTGAAGCTATAGGGGAAAAAAAAAAAAAAAAAAAAAAAGTTGTCACTGCTTATGAGAAGTGTCTTTTGTAGATATAATTCTCTCTTCTCAAAGCAATGAGGCTAAGATTTTTTACACACAAATGATGCTTGCAGAGACTAATACAGCCTCCAATTTATTCTGTACTTAACTTTTTCTTATTCAACAGAACCCTAAGGGCTTTTTTGTCTTCAAGACTTTTAGTTGATAACCTACTCTTCAGTTGGAAGACCTAACAACTTTGCTGGGAAATGCTTTTATTGAAACAGTAATGGCAAGTCAGTCTACTAGTCAACAGTCACTTTTGCATTCTGTGGTAATTTCACTTTGCAATTATCAAGTTTTGCGCTAGATTTGGGATCACAGGCTGGATCGATGGGCTGAGGCCAATGGTATAAAGTTCAATAAGGCCAAGTGCCGGGTCCTGCACCTGGGTCACAACAACCCCATGCAAAACTACAGGCTTGGGGAAGAGTGGCTGGAGAGCTGCCCAGCAGAAAAGGATCTGGGTGTGTTGGTAAACAACTGGCTGAACATGAGCCAGCAGTGTGCTCAGGTGGCCAAGAAGGCCAACAGCATCCTGGCCTGTATCAGGCATAGCGTGGCCAGTAGGATTAGGGAAGTGATCGTCCACTTGTACTCAGCACTGGTGAAGCTGCACTTTGAGTACTGTGTTCAGTTCTGGACCCCCCAATACAAGAGGGACAACGAGGCTTTGAAGCGTGTCCAAAGAAGGGCAACAAAGCTGGTGAAGGGCTCGGAGAACAAGTCTTATGAGGAGTGGCTGAGGGAACTGGGGTTGTTTAGTCTGGAGAAAAGGAGGCTGAGGGGAGATCTTCTCACTCTCTACAGCTACCTGAAAGGAGGTTGTAGAGAGGTAGGTGTTGGTCTCTTCTCCCAGGTAAAGGGTAACATAACGAGAGAAAATGGCTACAAGTTGCACCAGGGGAGGTTTAGATTGGATATTAGGAACAATTTCTTCACAGAAAAGGTAGTCAAACATTGGAACAGGCTGCCCATGGAAGTGGTAGAGTCACCATTTCTGGTGATATTTAAAAGACGGGTAGATGAGGTGCTTATGGACATGGTTTAGAGATGGGATTGGTAGCGATAGGTTAACGGTTGGACTCGATGATCTTAAAGGTCTTTTCCAACCACTATGATTCTATGATTTATTCAGGGAAACGTACCTGCATATTTACATATGACGCCTGTGGAGCCAGACGTGCTCTTTCAGAGTTCTGCTGTGCAGCTGCTGCTCGCTCTGCTGCACGTTCGCTTCCAGGAGCCTTTTTATCAGCCATGGGACTTTCAGAAGCACTTAACTCTGCATCTGAGAGCAGCCTCTCTGTGGTACTGCGGGAGCAAAGTCAGTATTAACTCCAGGTTTTTTTCCCCTCAAGCAGTGAACATTTAATGCAATTTTGAAACTTGAGCTTTACCCTGAGAAGTGTGTCAGTAAATCCAAGAAATGACAGTACACAAATGTTTTTAGCAATGTTTCCAAAGTCTCAGCTTTTCTTTACCTGTTTCTTCTGTCAGTGAAACAAAGCATGTATTGCTGCTTCCTATATTACCAAGTATGAAACAGTTTAGAGATTCAGATTTGAATTGTCTGGTATCTGGAATTATCACAGGCAATCCCTACACAGTGTGATTGCCTACCATTTACTCTTGCTCAGGCCAGCAGTTCAGTAGTTCAACAGATCAATAGTAGTAGTATAAAGAGAGATGCATAATGGGGACTAAGGAAATTAACATGGGTCCTACTTGCTTTTAAAACTTAAATAATTGCAGTCCTACATGCCAAAGCACATCTTACTGTAATCTCTTATTTTTAAGTCAGCCACATTTTATGTTTACTCTAGAAGAGTATAAACTCTTACTTCAAAGCAAAGTGATCATGTTTCTAGATGCTGTAGACTACCCCAGAAAAATGTCTTCAGGAAACTGTAAGCACTATATCCTCAACAAAAAGAACATGACATACTAACAACTGAGTGACCTACTAACAACTGAGTCTGGTTAGCAGGAATCCTTGGATTTCTGAACTATGAGAGTAGAATTAATGAAATACATATTATATTGTAAATCTGTTTTGAGAGTATAAATAAATGAGGTAAGAAAAAATATACATCTCAAAAGAGTGACGACAAACAGTTCCCAAGAGGAACAGCAAAAACACTACCTAAAGCAGATCAGACAAAATATTGCGTTAAGCACAAAACCTGTGATGCCAAGACACATTATGACTCAAAAGAGCCCTTCCCACTGCTGGCTCATTAAAAAACAACAACAACAACAAAAAAATCATTGAGACAAGTGTATGAGAACATGCTGTTATGCCCTGAATACCATTTTTCTAAGAAGAAAACAGCCTCAGGTATGCAAAGAAGGAAAAAGGCTGTCAGTTAGAAACTGTTCTCAAAGCAATCAATAAAAAAAAAAAAAAGGAAAGTACAAAAATGTATCCTTTAGAAACAGGTAATGAAAGTGTTTATCTGAAAAAAATTACCTCTCATGTGGAAGAGGAAAGGCATTTATTTTTTTTTTTTTTCAAACCAAAGGAAAATACTTACATGTACAAAAGGCATTCAAATTTTGCAATTATCAAACTGGGAGAGTATATTAATTCCCAATGTGATTTAAAAAAATGAGCCCAATTTAAATCATTTCCTTGAGTATCTTATGACTGAACCACCCCTTCTACCTACAAAAACGCTAAGTATTTTTGCATGGTGGAAGTTCCATTAATCTGTATTTGTATGTTTAACTTACTGTAAGTGAGAGTTTTTGGTGCCTTGCAGTAATTCAACCGTTTGTCTCTTAGCACAGGCCTGTTTGGAAGAGCTCATCATTTGCTTCAGATCACTGGTATTTGCAGAATGGGATGGACTTCTTGGCATGCCCACTTCTACAAAAGCATCATTGCAACCTACAAGACCAAAAACAGAATAGTTAAACAGAAAACATAAGTTCTAGTGAACTTACTGAAGGAATAACAGCTACAGAACAAAACCTGCTCTTCCGCCTCACATAATTACTGTAGTTTTCAGGAAAAACAACTTGGTCCAAGTTAAGAAGCCAGAAATGTAAGTTCAAATGCACAAAGAAAAGGTGTTAGTATTCACATAGTAGACACACTAAGTATTTTCTTTTTCAAATTTTTTTTCAGTAACATTAGTTAATATTAAATCTGAATACTGACAATCAGGAATTACTAAGTATTTCAAGCAAATCTGATTTTATATCTAGTTTTAATAAACCTTGCCAGGTGCTCAGATAACTTTTGCTGGAATAAAAGCTGACCGCTTAATGTTCAACTGTCTTTAAATGTGTCTTTGCAAGTATTTATCACCTTAATTGGGCAAGGTACACTGCATTCAAATCAGCATTCCAAATGACCACAACCTTAATAAAAGGGCATCTCCTTGTTGATCAGTATTTGCAAGGGAAACAAGGCCTTTACACATATTTGCTCAAGTCTGAAGTAGAACTGGCTTTCCCTCCCTCCAAGAACGACAGGAACAGTTCATTAGTTCCTTTAGCTTCTAAAAGGTAGCATAACTGAAATGCTGTTACAAAACATGCAAATAAATTCCGTTGGCCAGTGTCATCTAGGTTTGATATACATACAATTTTCTGCAGTAACCTTCTCAAAGGCATTAATTCTTTCCTTTCATTAAAAAGCAAAAACACAACATCATTTAAACCAGCAGAGATTATTTTAAGCAATTAAGTTAAACTGCTGTAAAACATACTAAAATTTTCAAGGTTATTTCCCTCTGCTCTTAGGGAATAAATAAAATGTTACAAGCACATTTATGTTGACTTAAGGTGTCAATAGTAGAGCTCAGATACTACAGCTTCTATTTACTTTCTTTGGCAACAAATCTGGGAGATCTGGCAATATTTTCCTTCAACATGGCTGCAAAACCAAAGTACAGGCAATATATTTACATTTTTGTTTCATGAGCTGTACATAGACTGCACAAATACTACCAGTCAAAAGAATAAAATGTCAAAATCTTACCTTCTGTACTACTTGTTTTGGCAGCTACTTGGTCTGAGGCACCATGAGTACTTGTTTGTCTTACTGGATCACTGTGGTTTGTGCTCAACACATTTTCTCCTAGTGATGTGGCAGACAGTGCAGCGTACTTGATATTTGAGGTCTGAAATGATTGTCAAAAATCACTGAAGTGATTGTTATGCTTAAGGAAGTATTGAAAGAATTTAGCTTTTCTATCTGCTCAGGAAAACAAGAAATTCATTGGAATGTTCCACTTTTTGAAAACACCACTGTTCTATTTCTAAACTTAGCAGCTTTAAGAATCTACTAATACAGCTATTTTTCTCCTTCAGCTTTTCTTAGTAGAAGTCTATTACAAACAGATCTGGTTCTCCACAGACAGTATCACTTACCTTTACGTGACCATTTAAAGAAGGTGAGCCTTTTTTACTCTCTGATTGCATGCCGTTAACATGGACTTCAACAGGAGTCAAGCCTGGCGGTGGAGATGGAGTGTTTTGACTATAATTAGGTACTCCAGACAACAGAATACTAGTTAAGGTTGCTTGGGTGGTAGATGGTATCATTAGGTGTGGAATAGCAGAAAAACCTGTAATAAAATTTGGTCATGTTCCAGTTAAGTTTCCCATTTAACTTTCTTCAGGCATTGCAGTACTTCATATAAATCTTTATGTAGCTTTGATACAGCACTAAACAAGTTTCCACTAGAATTGCATGCCAAAAAATGTAATGCTTTATCTAACTGTTACTTTGTAGGTTTACTTGGTTTCCTATCTAAAACAGATCAAAACATTGCAAGTGACAGCATGTCATAAGTTTGTATGATCATACCTCCAACCTTCAAAACGGGCAAGAAGGAGGACCCGGGT